TTAAAACATGTTCTGGTGATTGTTTTTACTAAAGATAAACCTGGTTTAGAAACTCACTTGGCACGTCAGGGATCTTCAATGGGCCTTTACGATTGGAAAGATCGTCTATGTATAATAATCGATCCTCAACAATTGATAGCTAAATGCAAAAGCAATATTGCAAACAAATCTGATAAGCGTTCGCATTAAGAAGCAAACTAGCTCATCATGTACGAAACAAGGACATATTTAAAAAGAAACAACACTTTATCTAACTATTCTCTGTTTTATTTTTTAAAATACTATCTGCTTAACCTGACTCCAAACTAACAAAAATTCATGCATTCAATACAAACTTGAATATTACATACCGAAATTATTAATAGCTAAGAGGCGTTTAAGTATTGATCTTAGGAAAAATAACATATCCACATTCACCAACCCTTAGGTTCATCACTATCAACGTCATCATTGTAGTCGAATTTAGTGACCCCGTATTCCATTGAAATTGGAACTAGATTCATTTTAGGGACAATGATATTATGAAAATTGCACCGTTTGAAAATTTCGATTGATAGCATTGTCTCCTGAAACTCCATTCGAAATCGATGAATCGCATATCGAAATTTACCCAAGGGGAAAACGGCAGACTTTAATCCCTTGAAGTCAAGTAGAGTCACATGGAATCAGATGGAGTCACTTGGAATCTCATTCAATTCTTGCCGATCTTCAGAACCTCATCGTAGAAATTTGATACTGCGATGTTTTAATTTCTTTCTATCATGTGTACGATCAGAGGAAATATTTGTTAGTCTCGATTTAAAGACAAACATACACCATCTTTCTCTTATTCGTATTTAGCACACTCATTAATTCCAAAATTTGGAATCTAGCAAAATGTTGTTTATTCGTAAAAAGCTCTAGAAAGTGTTATGTAACGAAAAAAAGAATCAATTTTTTTCATTAGTCTACTGTACTCAAAGTAATCGATTGTTCGAAATTTCATTTTTTTATTCGGTTAGTAATCCAGAAGCAGTGTGTTTATGTATATGTCGTCTCGAAGTTATAAGTTCGACAGTAAATTTTGTTGAAGTTAGACTTCAATAATAAATTTTTGTCGAAACCATTTGCAACATGTAACTGAACAACTTTCATAGAGAGGTGAACATCTTTGTAGCGATTTTTTGATAGAAGACCTGGTGCTGATGGTATTACACTTCATTTGGTTTCTTCTTATCATGAATCTCCTTGCTTGCATACAAAAGCACATGCTTATGTACACAGCTAGCGGAACGATGTTATAATATTTCGAGGACACGAAATACAAATTAATGATGACGTATCAAAGTGAGGAGAAACAAGGAATAATAGATAAGCTCAGATGGGAGTGTTAAAATTATTATCTTGAATAATACATAGAAACTCTTCTTTTCAGCTAAACAATATTCATAACTATGTTTAAAAACACTCATTTTGAAAAATTTACAAATCATTTAGAAATAAACCATTTTGTTTATTAACCTCTTTGAGTTTCCTACTTATTTGGAGTGCTAAAAATGTTTGAATACAATCTAAAATGTCCCTGAAAAATATGCCCTTTCAAAAATATCCCCGATATTTCGTCCTTGAAGAAAATGTCCTCCGTTGAAATGTCCTTGCAAAATGTTCCCTTACTTTAAAATGGACATTTTAAGAATGAAAGATGTTTTTTCGAAGGACAAAACTTATCACGGACATTTTTCGAGGGACACTTTAGACTGTTACCAGAAATCTGCTCATCTGTGAAGTAGTGTCGAGCTTTTCACATATCAATTCGAAATAAAGAATTATAGATGGGAGTCGATGTTCTCATCATTCTCGAGTTTTATTGCTAATTATATTCGATTGTAATTAAGCTTATGCAGTAAAGCTAGTTATAAAATGCGCAATGAAAGTCAAATATAATTAAAATAAGAAAATTATTGATCATGATTAATTTCGATAGATGTAAAAGATATGTGTAAATAGACGAACAATATAGTACACTCAAATATTTCTACGTCACAGTGAAGCGCACATATCATCACAAGTATAAATTTGCAAGATGAGTGCTACATACATACATACAAACACCTGTAGTTCTACAAAGATAAAAACTTAGCAATGCGAGACCCGAAGTAATTTCATCAATGACAACAAAAAAACTTATATGAAACTACATGTTCTACAGCAATGCCAACTCCAACAACAAGCAGTAGCATGACAAAATAGACAAAATGATTTCATTGTAGAATTGTTGTATATATAAGACTATTGTTATAGATATTGTTTAGCTGAAAACAAGAGTTTCAATGTGCAATTCAACACGATGATGCTCGCCTCTTGATAAAAGATATTTAATTAGCTGTAGCAGAATAACTTCGACAAAATTTTCTATCGAAGTTATAACTTCGGCAAGTAGTGCACCTTCGGCACGACATATATATTTTGTATCACGATTAGAAACTAAGAGACAAATGAAAAGAAAAGGTCAAACAATGGACTTTTCTTATTGCTCAAGAAAGTTAGCAAAAAGAACCAGAAGAAGATAAGAGTTAGACATGAAACATTGTCTTGCTTGTACTTCTTCAATTACTTCTTAGATGTTCTTTTATATACAGTAGTTAGGTTTTACATCAAATTCATGTTTTTAACTTAGTAATTACACTTACTGTTTTCTTGCATTGTTAACCTTATCTATTAAGTAATGAATGTATATTATACTTCTATATCCATGTGTTTTTCGTTCTTTTTATATTTAACAATTGACTTTTAAGCAAATACATCAGACATTGATATTAATAAAGAAAATTGCTTTTGAGCAAACAGTTATTAAATTATTCCTGTAGCATCTGCGAAACTCGTGGGTTTTTTACTGGCATCATATTTTTTCTGTTTCTAATAGTTCATTGAGGAAATAAAAAGCATCATGTTTTTATAATACTAAGAACTCCATACAAGAGTGGAGTCAGATGGAATCATGGAGTCTGACGTTTTCCCCTTGGTTCGTATTCATCAACATTTATATTTATTGATTCAGCTGCAGCTAATGAATTTTTATCAGCACGAATAACGCATGGCGATGTTTTCAAGGAAGTTTATTTTCGATCACTAACAAGATGTCGACATTGACTAGCACCTCTTTGAATCAAACCAGTATTTATCAAATAATCAACAGCACCAGTTAAACGGCTCTGTCATTGTCAATAGAATTGTTTTTTCCTCAAAAAAAAATATCTAACAAAAGCAAATGTTTGTTTTCAATTCTATGGAAAAATCTTGAAAATACTTAACACTAAAGAAAAAAGAAAAGAGTTTGTGTAGAGTATTAAAACAGAACTTTTATGACTTTTGAACTATCTTCAAACGATTGGTTAATTAGAATACTAGTTGAGGGTATATCATTAGATGGTCTTTCTCACAACTGACTGTTTTGTTGATAAATTGTTGGAAATGTTTGTTGAATCATTATCAGTTTTTATTACGGTTGCATTATCGAATAACAAATCGATAGTTTTAGACGAATATTCATATAATACTTTGGCTGATCTAACTGCAGCTTTGTTCATTACAATAAGTGGTCGATTATTCACGCCGTACAATGGTACTTCAGCTGTCGTTTTTTTTTAATAATTTGTTTAGCATGGTCATAAAATAGAAATAATCTATTGTATTGTTGATTATCAACATGTTCCTTGACAAATAAACCATTGTCAAATCGAATAAGATTAATTAAATCATAAAAAATTTTAATTGAAAATGATATAGTACAACATAGACATACGATGGGTTATTTAATTTCAATCTGAATTTAAACAGAAAAAAGAGCACTTGATTTCAAATTGAAATAAGGGGCTAAGGGGACTAAGGGGACTAAGGGACTAAGGGGACTAAGGGGACTAAGGGACTAAGGGGACTAAGGGACTAAGGGGACTAACTAAGCGGACTAAGGGTAGGAATAATGGTGTACACAGAGACGTGCATGGGTCGCGGCTCTTCGGGGGACGCTTCGCGCCCCCACGCCGCGACGCTGAAATAAAAGGTGTGTTAGGTGAGGAAACACGCTTCCCCACTGAATAGTCCGCTTAGTCCCCTTAGTCCCCTTAGTCCCTCAGTCCCTTAGTCCCCTTAGTCCCCTTAGTCCCTTAGTCCCCTTAGTCCCCTTAGTCCCCTTAGTCACTTAGTCCCTCTGTCTTGGTAAAAATGGGGTGTTATTTTTTATTCAAAATTCAATTTGAAATAAAAAAACCCATAGACTCTTAATACGATAGATAACGATAAGAATAAAGCTGAAACAAGTCCTAGTCTGAATTCATGTACGAAGGAAGTAAGATGTTACTTTTGGAAGACAATCAAAAACAAATGCCTGGTATAAAACCATTTCGAATAAATTTTCTCTATTTGTGTTATTTATTGTGCTGCACCTGGAACACGTTTGCTGATTTATCACAAGTCCGTCCAGTATTGAAATTTTGTTAGAAAAGGAAGATCATTTGGGCTTTCGTTTGCACAAATATGTGGTCGAATGTTTCTCGACAAGAAGCCATCCGTGATTTTGAAAAAGAATTGACTGTTTGCGGTGATAGAAATGAAGCGCTCTTTGATCAATTATATACTTGAATTCCTCACAAAGTAACAATATTTGATAACAATTCACTTTGTACAATGGTCCAGTCCATCGAATATTACGATGTCGAACACTCATCTGAAAAGAAACCAGTACAAGGTGTTGATGAACTCATGCATAGTATAATGAGTTATTGGCAAAAGTTAAACCAAAAGATTAGTGGTTTTGTTTCACTTCGAATCGAAAATTTACAAAATATGATTGGTGAATCAACCTAAGAAATTGCATGAAATGCAATGATGTCTATTTCTAGCAGGATTCGAAAAACCTTCTGCATAATTGTGTCCTATATTCTTCTTTTTGTCTTGTGATTCATGATTGCATCATTCAAGTCTTTTTAATTTTTCTAGATAATACATATTTCTTGCTATTACTTATGGTTAAACAGGCTAATATAGTTGTTTGTGGTTCAGCTTGTGTTGGCAAAAGTACACTTGTTAACTCTCTATGTGGAAAAGAAGTACCCAAAACCAGTAGTAGTTTATGTTCAGCAACTGATGAAATGAAAAAATATGTGTTAAATCAAACTTATCAATCAGTTAATGAAGCTGCAAGTTCAACTGAATATTCTATTACAATCTGGGATACATCGGGTATTGAATCTTGAACGGTAGATAATGTACAAAAGCATTTTACGAAAATTATGCTTGAAAGCACTCCTCTCTCTGTATGATTTATTGTGCATCTCCAGGTTCATTCGCTAGACTCGATCAATTACAATGGCTTATTGATACATGTATTCAATCAAATATTTTTTGTGCTCTCGTCTGTACGAACAAGTATAGTGAAGGAAATCAACAACGTGCTCATGAATTGAATGATTTTCATTCGTTTCTTTCTCGTTATCACAGTATGACACGTAACGAAACCAATATAAAATATTACGAAAATGTTGCTCTGTATACATCAGTGAATAGTATTATTTACGAAAATATTGGTCTTGGTGTAAGAAAAGTAGTCGAAGATATTAATGAACTTATTTTTGCCATCATAACGTCGTTGAAAGACGATAAACTCGTTGCTTGGTGTTACACTATTGCTGAAAATCAATCATTCTTGTCGATGATGCTTGATAAAATTGTAGAATTATTTAAAATATCTCAACCTATTTTGGAAGAATTTCTTCAGAAAGAAGGAAAAGATACTGCCAAAGCTCTAATACCGTTGATTATCAAAGAAATGATGAAGAAAACATGACACTATACTGATTGATATCTTTCTAATGTAACTTTTTGATTCTCATTTTTGCTTTCTTTTAATACATCGATCATTTCACTCTTGTATGTCTTAAAAATTATTTGTTTTAACTCCTTTATCTCATGAAGTTAAATGTCAAAAAAAATTGATCGATCATGTCAACGACTTGAGGTCCTTTCACTCTTTCTGTGTAAATAAGTTGATTTCTAGATTCATATGCACTATGAAACTCAAGGTAGAAATCTCGACACTTCTTCTTACATAGTAAAGTATTTACTAACTTGACAGTTATTGCTTGCTGCGATGTTGGATGAATCGAAATTCAAATAAGACCCAACCAAAAGTCCTTACTTTCCATCAATTAAGGTTATATTCGATAACTCACTAGGCTAAAAAGAAGCCCGGTAAAAAACATCTTGACGATGAGTAATGAAGGTGGCGTGAATGGGCATGAACGAAAACAATGCCGCAATCATCTTTATTCTCACCGTCACCTATATCTACCTATTCACCAATCTCTCACTCTCACCCGTCTGCCATCGAAACCGACAGCTGGAGATTCAGAAACTAGGTGTGGGTGTGGATGTGTGTTACAAGAAAACTAACACTTCCACCCTCACCCCGACGCAAAACCACACACGATCTAGTCAGAGATGGGCAAGTCAGCTATTTTTTCACTCAAGTCAAGTCAAGTCATTTGTCAAAGAGAGTCAAGTCAAGTCAAGTCA